GCGCTTTGGTACCCACGGCCCTGTTGACAGTTATAATTTTGAGAAAGTAGAGAATTTCGATTACTTTGGAACCAGCATTAACACCGACAATAATGTCAGAATGGAAATCCAACGCAGAACCAACTCTTGCCAACAAATTCTTATTTTGGACTGAGTAGACAGTTCAGGAGTAAAGTCCTTTCTCGACGTACGAAAACCACACTCTATAAGTCACTCATCATGCTAGTGCTGGTATATGGCGCAGAAGCGTGGACACTGAGAACATCCAATGAGGCGGCTCTTGGAGTATTGGAGAGCAGAGTGTCCAGATTAGGTGATTTAACGCCAATTTGGTGATTTATTTGGACGTTTGCTTAAATTCAAGTAAATTTTTTGTGCGCTATCATGTAAATGCGTCCAAGCACGTGATAAATAGGTTTTATTGTTATCGATTTTGTTGTAGCGTATCGAACATTTGCCAATTGGAGACAACTTAAAGAAAATACTGATAGTTTTTTTCTTGCTTCGTTCTGTTTCATGAGTTTTTGGTAATCTTTGCTTGGCCCCTGATCCCTATGTTAAAAATAAAGCAGTGCAATTAACTGCGTTGTGCGTAGAGAATTGAAAAAAATTATATTTTTATTATTAAGGTAAAAATACCCCTTTTAGAATGAGTACCAGTTTTAAAACAATATTAAACATTTTTGTAAAAAAAAAGAATTAAGCCGCCCTGTGAACACACGTGAGTTCGATTTTCCTGCAACATCGTGAGCACTTACAAAATTGCGCAATTATTAACCGTATCTGCGTCCCCATAATTGCGCAATGATTGATCAATTTCGTTATTATTCTGAAAAATTATATTAGTATCATATAACTATAACACACTAGTGAAAAGTGCATATCAGTTCTTCGAATTCACTAAACTATCAAAATTTTCATATTACTTATTTTTACATTTTTACTTTTTCTGTTGTATTTTCGAATTTGTACTATTTTACATAGTTGAAAGTCACAGCAAGTTTGAATATTTCTTGGGATTTCTTATTTTTAGGATAATTTCCAAAATTTTAAAAACTATCGAAATCTGGGAGATTCTGGAAATTTTGGCAAAATGAGAACATTTTTAAATGTACAAAATTATTGAGATTTTAGAAATTGTTATTTTTTCCAAAATTTTGAGAGTTTTATTTATTCTGAAATCCATCCTAAAATGTACAGATGTGAAACATCACAAATTGTCAAAAATTCTTATGTTCATGGTACTTGTGTATAAAACCTGAAAAATCCTTATAATTCTAAAATATATTTACATTTTTGAAAAATTCCAAAACTTTTCTACTTTCTTGAACATTTATTTTGTGCTTTGTCTACTTCAGTACATACTATTTTAGTATGTTATTCACGATATATGGTAAAAAAAATATATATATTAACAATCTTGGTGCGATTTACTAATGAAAGAAGTATGTAAATATTTGTTTATTTAATTTATTTATTTAATTCCAAACATTTGAACGGTACTCGGCTGAAAAATCTGTATTTGTAATCGAAACACAGTCGACACCACTGTCGATATATCAAATCCGACAGTGACTTCCACAAAGGAATTGAAGAAAGTCAGAATAAGAAGAAATATACGTATAGGTCCTCTTTTGTTTTACACCTGAAATAATTTTAAAAATTTATTATGCTCGAAATGCAACCGTGGACGCCAGCTGGCAGTGAAGCTTGCAAATGTTTGCTAATTAATGTTCGCGCAAAACTTAGTCAGTTTCTCTCTTTGGGAGAGTAAGGTACCTTATTCTCTGAATTTTGTTACTGGCTAATTCTTACTGGCAGTTGCATAGCGAACACCATGATAAAAACATAGCAAGGTAGAACCGTTCTCTCAATTTGTCGGCCATGATTTTTTTTTGAAGTTTGCCAACATTTTAAAATCATATAAAAGTGAAAATAAAAAATTGAAATTGTTCCAAATTGTTGTTGCTTGAGAATGAAAATGAAAATGTGTGTGTGAGTTTGTGAGTAAATTTAAAAATTAAATTGTTTGGAAACGTCAAGAATTTCAAAAGTGACTCTCAGCGGTTCTACCTTTTAATATTTTTATCATGGCGAACACTCCTTTTTACTTGTAAGAAGTTGGCAATACGAAAAACAGCTGATCGCATGTTGCTAGATGAAATTTAAACTAATACGGAAACTGTTTATTTGTTTTTATTGTTGAAATTGACAAAATAAACCTATTTAAATATAAAATATATTGTTTAAGAATTTGCTGCGAATAAACAAGCAAATTATCAGATGTTCATGAAACTTGCAAATTACACTACGCGACAGCCAAAATCGGGATGGGATGAAACCAACGGGAAATGTTATATCGGTCAAAAACAAGTTATACGTGTTCCGGCGTTTCGCTGGGTCACGTCTAGGAATCGAGATATATATATAACTATCATATAGGGGAAATTGTAACCTTTGGTGGTCTTTTTTTGACATAACTCGAGAACCACTAGTCCGATTTTGCTCAAACAAATTTAAAAAAAACTAAAAATTACAATTCCTTTAATCTGTTCATATAACGTTTTTCTATATAATCAACAGTTTTGCCGGTAAAAATAAATGTATGAAGAAAAAAAAATATTTTTTGCCTAAAATATTAAATTTTTTTAAACTATTGAATTGTAATTTTTAATTTTTTTAAATTTGTTTGAGCAAAATCGGACTAGTGGTTCTCGAGTTATGTCAAAAAAAGACCACCAAAGGTGACAATTTCCCCTATATGATAGTTATATATATATCTCGATTCCTAGACGTGACCCAGCGAAACGCCGGGACACGTATAACTTCTTTTTTACCGATATAACTTTCCCCGGTAGTTTGAGCCCTTCCCGATCACTGACCCCTACCATTTGTCTCACAGTGTTATTACTGAATTGACGTTCGTGCACTTTTTTGCATGATACAATAATTTTTAGAAGGTAGTTTCACTTCAAAATTTTTTGACATAAACCGTGTCTGTGACAAACACGCAATGTGGCCACTGCTACGATATAGAACTTGGGGATTATCGCTTGTTATTTTAGATATTTTTTAACAGAACATGTAAAGATTTATATGTTTCATAACTGATCACTTAATTTTTAATATAAATATACGTATTTTGTACATACATTTTTGCCACTGCTAATCACATGAATAAAAATCATAAAAATGAAAATATAACATCAATATTTCTTGTTTATAATGGATTAGACCCATCCCACACCACGGACATTATCGGCCGCCAATTTAGATGTGCTCGCTAGTCTTTCCATTGCTCCACAACTTATTGGTCAGAGCGATGAAGTTGGTGTAATGTGCGCACCTCCATACATCTTCATGTACATATTTCAAGCGAGCCCTATCATTTAAATAGGCGGCCGATAAAGTCTGTGGTGTGCGGTGGCTCTTATAGCTGTGTCCTTACATCTATTCCGTGTGTTGCAATATCCCCGAAAGCAGCAGTTAATTTTTTATGAAGAAAATTATTACAAAATATTCGAAAATTTCTCTACTTATATGTTTGGCTTTTCTTTGTTTTATTTTTCCAACGTCAAAAGCTGGATTTTTTTTTTTGAAAAAGTTGGTACAACAAAAAATACGAAACACGTTTTCTGTCAGATAGCTAACATGGCGGATAAAAAGAAGTGAAACTACCTTCTAAAAATTATTGTATCATGCTTTTTTGCATGGTGGAATTATACAAGGTGTTGTACGTAGTGACAGCTCATGTCGACGGCTCCCTTACAAAAGGTTGTAATATGGAAGAACGAGAGAAACGGGAAGAAAAGAAGCACGGTTTGCGAAGTAGTACGAAATTTGGTACTCTTTCATATCAAATTTTGCATATAAATAGTAACAAACGGTATATTATGATAAGCTAAATTTGCGAAAGTAGTATATATTACGTAGCACTTATGCAATAAATGGTAATTTAGTTTATTAAACACAATGTCCTATAATTATAGTCAAACTTCCAAAACCGCTTGGGGGTCTAATTTTTACCCGAAAATACTATAAGATGATTGATATAACTTACAAAAATTTCGCCATCAAAAAATTAGTGGTGACCCCGAGTCGTTACAACATGACGGAGTCGACAAAAGGGCGCATCGACGGATGGGGAAAATATTTCATCGAACAAAATGCCAACTAAAGATGTGGAGCTTGTATCGCAATGCAAGCTGCGACCGTTCTGAACTGAGATGCCAAACAAATGGTTTCTACAAATTGAGGCCACCTTTCAGTCGTACAAGACCACATCTTATGTCCGGAAATATAATCTGGTCCTCTCAGCAATTAGCAGCGATGCTTTAAAGGAAGCTGCGGATGTCTTAAAAGCCGTACCAGCTCAAGACCGATATATTAACCTCAAAAGTCAACTACTGTCACGTTTTACTGATTAAGCCGACCCACATAAGGTATTTGGCTGATTTTAGGCCTTTGGAGAATACAAAAAGCGAATGTTTTTTGTCGAATTAATGATTTTAATTTTTAATTTAATTTTGTCAACGAATAAGAATAAAGTAAATGTCAAAGAATTGTTCAGTGATTGCAAATCAGTTTTGGAATAGGGAATGAGGTAGTTTAGTTTTTTTAAAGGCGGTAAAATGTAGTTTTTTCAAGAGGGAAACACCGATTTTGCTAAGGGAGCCAAGATGGCAGATTAGAGCGAGAACGCTGTCAATATCCAACACCTTGTATTATTCCACCATGCTTTTTTGGATATTTTTTCTATGACAGCGAATTCCCGAAAATTAAGTTTACTGGAGAGTTGCTGGCAAAATACTGGATAATTTGTAAACAAAGAGAACTGTTTTTGAAAATATAATTTCCTTCAAACAAAAATTTTTCTACAAACAATTTACACAAATTTTCGTGAAATGCTTTAAAAACATTTGAAAATTCGTGGAAACTATATTTCTTAATTAATTGGAAACCAAAATTTGTAAACCAAAAAAGTGTGAGAAAAAATCATCATGGAAGATAATGAAAGGGTAAAAAGAAATTTCAAATTTGCCATGGATAAACTAAACATTTCGAGTTCTCATTCATCTCCGAATTGCAGCAAGATTTAAATTTAAATGAAATATGGCGTGCTTGTCGCAAAATCCAGGCAACAATTTTCCGTTATGGTTTCAATATTTGCGCCGATTTCGTCGAACACGATCCGAACTGTACTGGCTTAATATCAGGTATGCACATCGGTTCTATTTGAATAGGAATTCGTATATTTTGCTACGTTTCACTTTCATTTATTATTATTATTATTTTGTTTAGACTCACTCTTCACCAGCATATTGGGCAAATATAAAAATGTTGTAGGTCTCTCCGATTTCGAGCTTCGAGAGGTAATCGATTATTTTCGTCTGCGCGATGGACGTGTTGCCTACAATCAGTTTTGTAAAGTTGTTTGCCAAGAACGTGAGTTATTTGCAAATCTTATATTTACAATGCAACCAAACATTACAAAATAAAATGCGATTTTCTTTCAATTCAGCTACTACATCTGTCGACAAAAAAGATATGGCTACTGGATTAGAATGGAATGATCCTATGCATATTAATGTCATACCGAGACCTGAGGATCGTCGTCGCTTGTGTTTGATACTCATAAAAATTGCACAATTTATTAATTTACCGTTACTTCCGTATTTTCAAGACTATGAATTGGTAAGTTGATTTAGTGGGGTTAGTGTCTCATGTCCCACTCCACGAACCCTCATCCCACCGAATAGAAGATACGTACTCCTACTCGGATATAAAGTGCGGTATGGGAAACCAATAGCAAAGGCGCTTCAATCTAATTATTAGATAAATACTTCAACATCCGTTGACCACGTAAAGTGTGCAGAGCTTATGTAGAATAATTATCTAGTATGTTTCTAGAGTAGGATTGCCAGACGTCCTGGTTTACCAGGATTTGTCCTGGCTTTGGACAAATTGTTCTGGTGTCCTGGTCCCCAATTAAATTTTTCTAGGTTTTTAATGAAAGTTTATGTAGACACCCTGTTTTATTTTTGGCAGATTCTGCTTAGAAAAAAGTTTAAACTTTTGTTATTGGTAATCGATTGACAACGAAATTTTTTTTTTCTAAAATGTTGAGCAGTCTCATGATTCAATAATAAAAGGTTTGCTCAGAAAACAATTTCCTGGCTTCCTCATGACAACATCGGCTCCTTTAGCAAGGCAGTGCTAAGGGCAACAATGCAAGGTTAAGTGTTAAGTATCTGTCAAATGAGATGGGGTTGCCTATACATTTCATATTGCCCCATGGTAAACAAACATGTTACCATATTTAACAAAAAGAAAAAAGCGGGTAAACTTATCCATTGAAATGAAATTTCAAGACCACGGTAAAGGCGCCAAACATTTTTCCAAAAAATTTAAAACTTAAGCGTTTCAATCTGGTAGTACCAGAAAACTACAAGAAATTACTTCAAAATAATGCAACGGCAGAACCAACGCAACTGTACTAATAATTGATAAGCCATTTTATCCATTTTGATTTCCATGAGCCGATACTGTAGTCTAAACTCAGCCAAACTTGCAAACTTGAGAAAATTGAGACGGCTGAACTTACAAGTTTTAAAGGATTTTTTCTGGAAAATTTTTCTTTATTGTAAACCCCGTTGCTATTCATATTTTTTTTTTTTTTTTTNCTCGAGTTCTACATTTCATGAAGATTCCCATCTCTGATGATGATTTCCTACTATTGCTTAAACGTTACCTAAAAGACTCATATACCGTTAACTATGCAGCGTTCGTAAAGCATATACAAAATATAATGGATTATTTGAAACAAAACAACCTAATGGACAATTCCTTGGTGAGCATAATACCCAAAGAGTTTAAAGTTGAGCTATAAAAAAAAAAAAAATCATACCAACTGCACAGCAAATCATCAAAGATTTCCCAGGACGTTTGGTGGATCTTGAGCTTTCCGAGTTGCCAGCGATCAATGGCACTAAAATGGCAAACAAAGTATTTCCCGATCTGTGCAATCATCCGAAGGAAAATAAGAATGTGTGCGATGTTATATTCTGCATACAAAATAACATACATAAGCGACAAATACGCGTTAAGGAATTTCTGGAGTGTTTCGATCACTTGCGCACCGGCACAATAACAAAACATCAATTCGAACGAGCACTCGACAATATGGGCGTGCGCAAGTATCTCTCGCAGCGCGATATGAATTTTTTGATAGCACGCTACATAGATCCGGTCGATACAAATCGGATTATGTGGCGTTTGTTTGAAGATGAAATCGATCGAGGCAAGTATGACGTTGGTTTCTTTTTCAACCTATTATGAATTATTTAATACAGTAGTGGTCGAGATCGACAGACTAAGGGTGCGTTCACACAGAAAGCCGAGCGGCGCCGAGCAAAGCAAGGCGGAACAAAGCGAAGCTGCTGGTGTTCACACTGAACGAAGCCAAGCGGAGCTTTTCTCGTGGACCCGGCTGTTCCTGCAAATCGTGAAGCATCTGGAACGTAGCTATTCGTTTTTATTTGACCATGAAGCTGAAAAATTAAATAGAACATTCAAAAACAAAAACCGCTTTGCTTTCAGCTCCAACACCTTCTGGAAAAGCTTCACTTTCATATAGCTCAACAATTTGAAAACCTCACCCCGCTCGGAACTGCTTCGCTCGGCTCGGCTCTGCTTTCTGTGTGAACGTACCCTAAGTTTTTTTTTTCATTCATATTAAGATTCCCTCCCTGATTTATTTAATACTAATTGCGATCCCGTACGAGTCCGGACTAGTCAGAAATAGTCAGAATCAGTCAGATTTTACTGCAAATCGTTCCACTACTCGGTTCTCTGACTATTGAGAGGATAAAAAAGAGAGTAAATACGGTTCTTTTTCTGTCAGAAGCTACCAGTTTTAGTCCGAGAATTTTTTGCTGGTAAATTCTGGTAAATGTGTCAAACGATCATTTAGTGTGATTGACAACCACATTGTAAACAAAAGAAAAGTGTACTCTGCTAATTCATGTTGAAAAGTATTTAATTACTTATTTAAGTGGATTCTAATGAATTTGAAAGTATTTTTGGTTATCTAGTACATGTGTGAGCTGAGTGAGTTTACATACAAAATAAGCAAAAATTTACAACCAAAATTTGGAGGTTATGTTGAAGTTGACAGAAGTTACCATTTTTTACTAGAAAGCGATCCCGTACTTACTCTCTCCCTCTGAGCGAATTTTTATTTTTTGACAGGCTGCCTCTCAGCGGTTTTACCTTCAAATTTTTGTATCATGACTAGTTTTAGTCCGAGGAATACGGGATTGCACCTACTATTGCACATGCTTTATTGAAAATATTACCAAATTATATTCTTTGCATTTTCGTATAGTTTTTACCATCAAACACCTAGATAAGGCACCACTCTTGGAAGTGCAGTCACCACCCGACTACATAAAATATATGCCGCGTGACGGCGCTTTAGATTGGAACAAAGCCGAGGAGAGTATGCGCAATTACTGCGAGGAAGCTCTGCAGCGTATACAGATGCGAATAAGAAATCGGCGTTTGCATTTACATCCCTTTTTCCGCTCCTATGACAAGTGAGTAGAGAACATGAACTACCGTGCATTTGAGTGACCGCTTATTGTTCACTACACTCTTTAGATTGAATAGCGGACATGTCAGATGCAATCAGGCCAATCAAGTATTCCTTACCAACGGCATATTATTATCCAATAATGAGCTAAACGCGCTACTGGCACGCTATGGTAATGAGCTTGGCTTTAATTACACAAAATTCCTTGAGCATTCCGATCCCGCTGAGTACGCTGTGCCAAAGCTGAAACCCCACCTGGAAGCGATCAAGGCAGACTGTCCGGCAATCAGCAAGGATGTTGGCAACAACTACAGCGAGGAATACATTATCAAATTATTATCGAATATTAAACGACAAGCAATCACGCGTAGCATCAGCATCATTGACTTCTTGCAAGATTACGATCGTCATCGTGAGGGTGACATATTAGAGATTGACTTCAAGCGCGGCCTGGACAATGCACTTATATCTCTCACACCAGACGAATCGAATGCGATCAGCAACATGTAATTGCTCTAATCCATAACGGAATTGAAGAGTTTTTATAAATTTTTCTCATATACAGATTTCGCTCTCCTAAACGCGCCTGTTGTGTGCTCTATCGCGACTTTTGTCGTGCACTGACGAAATATNTCTCCTAAACGCGCCTGTTGTGTGCTCTATCGCGACTTTTGTCGTGCACTAGACGAAATATTCATTGAAATCGAAACATCGATGGCTGATAAAGAGATCTCAGCTGTGCCACTTATTCATTTGGCTAATTTGGATTGTTTCGATTGCTTTCTAAATTTCGAAGAGCGTACACTATGCTCGCAAGCGCTTATGAAATTGGCGCGCCAGCCGGACGAGATCTCTAATTTGAAACAAGTCTTCCAGGACTTTGATCGCGAGAAATGCGGTACAATAAGGCGAAATCAGCTACTTCGTGCGCTAACTGTTCGTGAAATGCACAACATGGTGAGCAGTCGTGAGTTGGATGCCGTCTGCAAGTGTTTCGGTGTACAAAGAGGTAGGCTTTTACTTTGAATAGAAATTCAAAAGTTTTACCGTTACAACTATGCCTTTCTGTCGATTTAGGTCTTCACTTGGAATTTAACTACCGCGATTTTCTAAATACGCTAGATATTCTATTCCGTACGGGACAAGTGAAACGCAATTATTAGTAAATGAAAATTGTGCGGAAAGAATGGGTAAAACAATTGTGGGTATGCGAATATGAATTAAAATTAATGGAATTTTTTTTGTGCTTTCTTTTATCCGCGAAACTGCCGCTTTAATTGGTTGTAATTGTACTTCTTTACAAATTGCATCCGTAGGAAATAAAGAAATGTACATATTCCATAACCATTCTACTGGGACTTTGCAAATTTCATAATTGGGCTTACTGCTTTTATTAAGGATAAAGGCTTAAAACTTATCGAATTTATTTTATATTTAATAGTAAATATAACCACTTGCCGGTTTGCGCCAATACCAAACGACTTAAACACCTACACCTGGTCCAAGACGAGTTTAATAAGGTAGTGTTAGCCGTTAGGTTAGGTTAGGTATATAAGTAAAAATGTACACTAACAAATTATATGCAGATATTCATATTCAAACAAAACACATGTAAGGCTGAGAAATCAGCTGATCTTGNTATGCAGATATTCATATTCAAACAAAACACATGTAAGGCTGAGAAATCAGGTGATCTTGCAACACCACCTTGTATAAATTCGCCTTAATACTGTCATTNGTAAGGGAGTGTCAAACCGCAGCTGTCAATAATTATCTAACCTTGTATTATTGAATCATGTTGCAACACCACCTTGTATAAATTCGCCTTAATACTGTCATTGGTATTGTTACGATCAAGGCGAATTTATATAAGGTGGTGTTACTAGCTCAGCTGATTTTGTGTATGTGTTTCGCCGCACGGCTTCTGATATCAAACTGAAAAATTTTGTTTGAATTTCTACACACACTCTTACAGATTTTGACAGTTTATGCCGCCAAAGCAAAAACAAAATACATGTAAATTTTTGTTTTTGTACTCCTGCTATCANCAAAATACATGTAAATTTTTGTTTTTGTACTCCTGCTATCACCTTATATTAATTCGCCTTGGTTACGATTATCTTTGAAACCTCGTCCGGATTTCCCAAATCTCTCGGTTCGTATCGCTGGAT